GAGGAGTAGGTAGTCGTTAGTCGAGGTGTTTTGGGCCGCTGAAAGGGTGGCCGCCAACCAGCTCGCCCGCCCGCCCTTCCCCGTACACTTTGCGGGTCTCGAAGTCTTCTCGGGCGCTAGTGGGGGCCGCGGTCTCCTCACGCTGCCCGCTGGGGAGCCGCAGGGTACGCGTCCCTCAGCCTTCACTCTGCCCTTGTTATTTATCTTGGTCTGGTTTTTACTCAGAACAGCTCAATCTAGTAATGCCCTGCTTCTGGAATTGCTAGAAATTATGTTTACTACTATAAAAAAAATCGTTAATTCTTTGAAGGCATAATTGTTATCTATAGCGTTCCTAGTGTTGTTATCTATTGGCACGAGTGTAACTATCCTATTTCACTCTGAGTATGCTGAAATTGTGTTTATGTTGTGGATGATAAATGCTGCCTCTTTGGCTTTATATTAACATGTTTTTATGGTTATAGTTTTAAAGGACACACTGGAAAAAAGAGGTGCTCTTGGACAAATAAAAGCAAGAATCAGAGCTGAAGTTTTTAATGCACTGGATGACAAAAGTGAACCACGGCCACCACTGTCTCATGAAAATCTCTTAATCAACGAACTAATTCGTGAATACCTGGAATATAACAAATATAAATACACAGCATCTGTTTTAACTGCAGGTATTGGGGCTGAGTTTTTGTTGTCATCACTGTATTAATAGGCATTTACTGTTTGGTTGTCTAATTTTACTGGTAACTATGAAATTAATAAGTGAGACCAGGCTGCCCAAGCTTCTCTTCCCTTGGAAATAAATTAGAGACAAACGCTCTCTCCATGGCTTTACTTGCAGCATTAAGCCAGATAATACCATTGGTTTATAAGAAAACTTAGTCTTTGCGCCTTGTCCTTGAGTTAAATGCTTTGACCGAGTAATTGATTCAAGAGCTGTTGCTAGCAGCCTGCAAAATCAAAATACTTTTCTTGAAATGTCTGGTATTATTTTCGAAAATGGCTAACAATATTTTTAAAGCATATATCACATTTCTTTCTCATTGTCATTTGGGTAAATTTAAAAAAATAGAAATTCTACAAATGAGCAAAACCTCTTTGAGGAATAATTTAAACTAATATGTGCATAAAGTAGTTGATAGTAGGAATTATAGCAGTCCTGGCAATTTATGCATATAAACTGTATCAGAAACATGGTTAGATGTCCTCAGCCTAACAAAAAAGAGTATGAAGAAGGTCCGTATTTTATAAGAACTGCGCTTAAGTATTACTGCTGCTGACTATGCTAAAATACCAGTACTTGAGAGCCTTTTAGACTACAACATCTAAATGGTACAACACTTTATCAGCTATTGCTAACTTGTATTTGAAATCTGAAGTTCTGTATTTGTGTTTAGATACGTTAGTCACACTTGCTATTTTAATAATTTGATATATTCTATTAAAATTACAGACACAAAGGCTCATCTCAAGGAGAGGAAATGGAGGCAGTGCATAGTAGTTAATGTATGGAATCTGAGAACAGTACTTTTTTAGCAAAACAGTTGTTTGCCTGATTATATTGTAAGACTTCTTTAATATTTTTCTTAGATTTCTTTAGAGTGTAGATAAAAATTGTAATATGCTATTGTATGAGTATGAAGCACCAATGTTTAAGCGAGTTCCCTGGAGTTAAAATACAGTGTTAGATATTAGTAGTCCAAAAAGGAGGTGTGTTCTTCCATTCTCTTTTGAAGTCTCCTGAGCAATCTTTAAAAGTTAATCTGTGGTGTTTTTCTTACCAATCCTAAGAATGTTGGCGAAATTTCTTTTCCAGAATCTGCCCAGCCTGAAGTGCCCTTAGGTAGACAGTTTCTTGCCAAGGAGCTGAACGTAGTTGAAGACGCAGATGGAATATCAGTGTAAGGAGTGATTTTGGAATGCACAGGATATTCTGTTCTACATCTGTTTTTCTTTTTAGTGTCAGTATAAATCAAATATAAATGTTCTCACCAATAAAATATGACTAGATGGCACGGCTGCTCTGACATGCTGAATTCAAACTTTCTGTGTCAAACATGGGGGCATTTTCAGGCATACTGAAAACTAACATTTAATTCTCCCAGCTCTATAGCGTTTTCCGGATAGTGTACTTGCACACCAAATACAAGTCTCTTACCAGTACAGTCTTCACTGCAGTGAGAAGCAGACAACAGATATGCTCTTTGCATATCAGTGGATTGCTTTCTGGAGCAATAGAAGGATTATTGCACTGTGAGATTAGATATAAATTTACAGTGCTCCAATACAGCTGCATTAAGGAGCCAGGGTACGGAAGCAGGTTTAAACATGTTCAGCGTTCTCTGTAGATTGTGCTCTTGGAATCTATTGGGAAGAATAAAGTTTGGGATGTGCAGTGGTGGACTGGGCTATAGCCTACCAAAGTCTGACCCTTTGTACTGCATGAGTGAGAAAATGGCTTTGTGTTCTCGTTATAAGTGTGCTCCAGTTCTTCACCTACAGGGGATTTGGAACTTGGTTGAGAGTGTCTCTTAGTGTGAGAGTGTTGCTGTTCAGGGTGGGCTTAGGTCTGTGCTTATATAATGACACTGTCACAATGTATTGAAAACAATTACTCTGAAGACATCTGTACATATTCTAGAAGTAAACATTAAAGTCTAAGAAGTTCTGAGGAAAGGGTGGTGTTTTAACACTCAGTATTTAATTGACTTCATAGACTGCTTTTGTTATTTCTTTCTTCAGCAGACCTCTCTTGTATGGAATTATCTCTCATTTCTTACATGGTGGTAAAGAAGAAAGTACCCAGAATACCCTTCCAAAAGTGTCTTTGCTGAATTACCCAAAGCAAAAACTTGGCAAAGCACCTACTGAGAGAAATCAGAAAGGTGGGCATGGGTATGGGGTAATTTTTGCATAAGTTTTGTTTGTGACTGGATTTTCTATATGACACATATGCTTGTAATAGCACAAACATGATGATGGACACAGCGTACCTCCTCCTCTGTGCAAGGAATGCTTCGAACTGACACCTCTTTTGTAAGAAAAATTCTTTGGCAGAACAGTATTTGTACCTCAAAAATGCTATTAAGCTGTGTGACCTGATACTTGTTGATCATGTATTCATTTAAGAAAGGCCCCACTTTATCCAACTCAAGGAAAACCCACCTGTGATTTCTAAAACAACCCATGTATGTGCCTTTGTTTAAATAAGTGACCAACTGACACCTTTTTGACTGACCTTCAAATGTGTCAGCAGTAGAATTTTCTCTCTTACATGGAAATGTGTTTTAAAATACTGCAGATAGCCAAATTTATATAATATCTCAATACACAAGTTACTGTGAAGCTTCTGTTACCTTGTGGTAGCTGTAGCTACTTGTTACTGCATGGAAGGGAAAAAAAGCCTTGTTGTTGAGCTTTATTCTCTTAAGGTTTTTGGACTGTTGAAAACTGAAAACTTGTTTAAATTGGACAGCTAAGCTGTTCTGATTAGTAGATGGTAGAATACCTGTCATGCCATTTATGCTTTTAGAAACCAAGATTTACTTCTCTACAGTTACTGGTAAAGACAGAAAATACTAATATCCCAATTCTCAGTATCAGAAAGGTCACCCACCAAATTGCTTTACCATTTTCCCACTGCCCTATACTATTACAAAACTGGGATGTGTCAGCTAGAGACACTTATTACATTGGCAATTTAATATTAATCTTTTTTTTTTCCTTCCAAGAGTCTCCTAGGCATATTACTTCACTTCCTACTGTGAGAATTTAGTACTATTGGGTTCATACTATCAACTGCATTTATTTTGTATAAAAAAATTGAAAAATATGAGGCCAGAGATGATATTGACATCTAAAAAGTATGAGAGAAGTATTAAATGCCTTTTTGTAACAGTGAATTCATTAAGACTATGTTGTTTCCCTTCTGCCAGAAGAGGGGGCTGAAGAAATAACACTTCAATACCAAAACTACTAATATAATCTGTGTTAGAAAATAGTTACTCCTGTCAGAAATGTCTCAATTAAAAAAAAATCAGTATATAGAAGAATTATTTTTTAAGTATAACTTTGTACCTCAGTTCAGAAATTGACTCTGTGCAGGTCACCTTGCCCTGTTGACTCCAGTATAATTCTGCACGGGGATTTAATTGTTGAGAGTTAGTTAGAAAACCAATGATTAATCATAAGACATGACAGCACATTGTTTTTTGAACTGAACAATAATAGAACAGCTTTAAGGCTTTTAACCTTTTAAGTAAGTATGGTATGAAAATACTTTCTCCATGTGTTTGTGGAATACGTCAGTGGAGACCTAAGGGCAATAGGTTTAAAATGCTATTTATCTAGCCCTTTTAGTTAGGCTGCATAGTAAGGTAATCAATTCCATTCATAAACTCAGCCCTCCAAGTCTCACATTTAACAACTAACTTGCTTTTTATATTAGCAGTTATCTTGCTTATTTAGTTGCATGTATATTCCAGTAAGCTGATACACAGACTGGGAATCCTGATCAAACACATGGAATCTGGTGTTTCTGTTGGTTCATTCATTCACTCTGGCTGAGTTGAAGTTGTCACGGATCTAATCTTTAGTAAAGGAAGAGTTCTCATTTCATACAGTTGCATGGAAAATTATATTTGTAGAATTGCCCTAGTTTTGTATGATGCTATTCTGTATCTAAGGTGATAATAGTAGAAAATAACACACCTTTGGATCTCCAGATGTGTTTGTATTTTTATGTCTGTATTTCATTTTCAGATAGAGTTCCAGAACCAGGAAGGATGGCTGGCACCAGCATCGGAGAGCCCTTTGTTTTACAAAGTATAAACAGATGAAATCTTTCATATGCTGATTCCTTATGTAAAGTTCTTCTTTACATAGATTTCCCCAATATGTCCAGTGGGACCATTTCAGCTTGCTAGATCTACTGATAGGAAATGATGATGGAGTCATACTTACCAATGAAAAAAATGCTAGGGGAGGCTCTCCAGTGCTGCTAGAAGGAAAAACTACACATTTGAGATGTAGTGAAGATTAGTGAAGCCTGTATCTGGAATTGGGCCTAAAAATATTGGTTTTACTTTATGAAAATTTATCAGATAACTTAACCATTTCTGCACTTTCTTTATTAGGTTATGTCTTTGTGTGTCTTTCCTGTGTTTTTTGAATAAAATTTTTTAGTTTTACTCTGTGGTATTTTTAATGTGTTCAGACTTCTTTATGAGAAAGTTGCTACTTTTGGATAAGTATGGGAAAATAAATTTGAATAGAAAATCAAAGTGCTTTAGAGAAATAGTTAGTTTTAATTCTCCAGAAATGAGCACTGTATTTATCTTCATGCCAACAAATGAGGGTAAGTCTTTTCCATCTGGAGTTGCAATAAATTGTATGGTGTATCACTAAGTGTATGGGAGGGAGAGGAACTCCTGTTTTATTGTGGGGTTTTTTCCTCCAAACTACATGCAACTCAAAGTCAGGCAAAGCTAAAGATAAATTTGATAATAGATTACTGACTCCGATAACGTTTTTTAGATGAGTTGTTTACATATTTTGAAATGGTAATTAATTTTAAAAGCCAAACTTACATGGGTACATAAAAAATAACAGGTTAGCCATTTTTCTCTACTCATTTTGACAAAATTTATAGATGCTAATGTTTCCAGAAGTACTAGGAGGAGGTTTGTATACATAAATTTTAGAGTTGGTTCTTTAAAATCTTAGTTGTTAGAGAAATGGTACAGTAAGGGGGGGGGGGAAGAGGAAAAGAACTTGCAGTTTGAAAGGACCCTGAATTGTACAGATGGTGAAGTTTTGCCTTAATCTTGATTTGACCCAATTAGCATTACAGGTATTTTGTTTTTATTTTTATGAGCAGCCTTGCGTCTACTCTAATGTGAAATGGCAGAGAACAGCTATGGGTTGAAAGGGGAAGTTGCATTTCCCCACTTGAAGCCTCAGCAGTGAGCTTATCCCCTTCATGTGACTGGCAATGCCTGCTCCACGCTTGCTCTCAAAGTTTCTCAGGGCTGTTTCCAGGAGGGGAGGACAGGTTTGCAAATGCACCTCAATCAGATGCAGCTTTGCATCAATTATACTTGGCCATTGGGTCAAGCAAGCAAATTTCTCTCTGCCCTCACTGCTCTCTGTGCTACCACCACCATCGGGTTCAGCTACCTGGCTGAAAAGGCAGCTGCATAAAACCTACCACCATGGTTGTTCCTGAGGTTCTTCCTGTCACATAAATGCAAATATTTACAACCGCTGATCTTTCTCTGAATCTCTCTGTATAAATACAGAAAAATGGTCTTCTAAACTAATTAGCAAATTACCTTCATTTGGAATGAACTGAAAGTGCCTCTATGGAAATTTTCAAAAATGAACAATGCAGATGTGATTGCTTTGGCCACAGAGATTCCCTGAATTTTTAACTTGTTTTTTCCAAAGGTACCATGCTAGACAGCTGTTTCTGTGTAACCCAGTGGGTCAAATCGTGTATATTCGGAATCTGAATTGTCTTGTCAAGGGCAAGGAAAAAGGCTCTGGGAAACACAGAATCTCCAACCTTCTCTGCTCTGCAAGTCTTCCAGTGTAACCAAAGCCACTGCGTGTGCTTTCTGTCTTCTCACCACAGCTCATACAGAAGCTGCCCAGGTGCCATGGAGCATCCTGGGAAATGGATTTTTAGTGGTAGAAATTAAATATAATTGTTGTTCTGGTGGAAGAAGGCAAAGGGGTGTGTGCCTTTTCCAAGCGCACAGCTGAGCAGGCTCATGATCTCCACAGCCACGAAAGCAGAGGCTGTTACAAGAGTGTCCTTCACTGAGCCTTGAGGTAAAGGTGTGTATCTGAAATCAGAGAAGAAATCTATGTAAGACAGAGGGAATCTCAGGACTGTTTGCTTTGGGTATTGCAGCTTAAGCCCCTTGTCAGGAGCCTGCGCTGGGACAGTGGGTGGGAGCTGGTCTGTTTCCTCTTGAGGCAACAGTACAGCTTTGGGGTTTTGGAACAGTCTCTTGGGTCAAAGTACAGTCATTGTACAAGCTGTGTAATATGTCTATGAAAATATACTGGTTTGATCGTGTTATTAATGGCATTAATGCCTAGCATTTATGCTGACAGCACATGAAATACAACAGCATCTTTCAAGGTGCAGACATGTAGAGAGTCCTGTGCTGCCTTGCCTGTTAATGGGTGAAAAGAAATTGGAAAGCCTGTACAATATGGCTGCATTTTACAAAAAAATCATTCCTTGAAAGTTTAGGCTAAGCGAGGTCAGTATTCAGATTAAAATAATTCACAATCTTAGAGTCAGAGGTTTAGGTTTTAGATGAAATTGCCACATAGGTGTACATGCACAAAAATTATTTTCTCATCTAATTTAAGAAGTTCCATCCAGCTTAATTACAGATCATGATTTCTTGCATTAATTGCCTTTATTCTTTTTCATAATTCCCTTATGAGGAGCGGCTGAGGGAGCTAGAGCTCTTGAGCTTGGAGCAGAGGAGACTGAGGGGTGCCCTCATTCATGGGGATCAATTTGGAAAGGGCAGTGTCAGGAGGAAGGAGCCAGGCTCTGCTCTGGGATGGCCAATGCCAGGACAAGGGGCAATGGTCCCAAGCTGGAGCACAGGAGGTTCAAGCTGAAGATGAGGCCAAACTTTGTCAGTGTGAGGGTGGCAGAGCATGGCCCAGGCTGCCCAGAGAGGTTGTGGAGTCTCCTTCTCTGGAGACATTCAAGACCTGCCTGGATACTCTGACAGGGGGATTGGACTGGGTGATCTTTCGAGGTCCCTTCCAATTCCTAACATTCTGTGATCCTGTGATTATTCTTTCGACTGATGTCAGAAAATGAAAAAAAAAAAAAGCATGTAAAAGTTCAGTGATTTTTAATGAGCAAAATGCATTTCTGAATTTTATTGGAGATAGAATGCTGTAACTGAGACTGCTATGGAGGGGATTACATTAAAAGAGGCTGTTCTTTGTCTAAGTGTAGTATCACAAGGGAAGGTGACAAGGAGCCAGTGAAGTTTGGTGTGGACATCAGATCTGGAAAGCACTCTGAAAGAACTTAAACCAAAAGTTGTTTGTTGTTTTTTTTTAAATAATCTTTAAATCCAAATTTTTGCTCTCCCCTAGATTCAGAGGAAATGTTGTTCACACGCTGCACAGCATCAGTGCTGTTTCAGAGGTATTAATTTCTGTCATGCCCAGGGGAATTTTTTTTCTAAGCCTTATCAACACTCTCCAAGGAGTCGGTTCCCCTTTCCTTCCTGAGTGCCCTTTGTATCAAGCCAAGTCATGGTGTCAGTTTTTCAGTTTTCTAGAGGAGTGATTATCATTGGGTGAGCATGTTTAGGAAACGAAACCTCAAAATATTTGTTCACGCTTGGAAAGGTGCTCTTTGATTAGCAGCTCATGTCCAGCTGATTCAGAGCTGACCTGTGTGCTGCACTTGACCTGCAGCCCACATTAAGCATAAAGCTTGACATGAAGCAGTTGGTGACTATTGTACCTCATCAGACCACTTTCACGATTAATTGTTCTGGTATGCATGCAGCCTGTCCTTCCTATTGCAAGAGAACAGCTCAACATAGGTGGTAACTCACTGGCACCCCTGTCAGTTCCACTTACTAATGTCAGCTTAGAGAAACACGGCTAGTAAAATTAGGTAAAAACGTTGTTAAACAAGAAGGAAAAAAAGAAGCTTACATTATCTAACAAACTACTATAATCATCCATGCTTTTCTTTCTGTTCCCCTCCATGGTATTCAGGTTACACCATCATAAGGCAGCTGAAAGATCATTTCTTTCTTTCTCAAGTCTTCTTTTTTTTTTTCCAAGTACAATATTCACAGTGAAAATTCAGCAAGGAGATATTTAGGGGCAGACTGCTCAATTCTTTATTTTTTCTAGAAAAGCAATTAAAACAAATACAGAAATAAAACAGGAGTTTTTAAAATAAACCTTATCTTGTCACAAAGGCATCGTCCACTGGGAATCCACAGCTTTAATTTTGAGGCAACTTTGGTTTTTTTTTAAATACCACAGTCCAACCATGCTGTTGTATTAGTGTACTCTTGTATTCACTTGAAACTGAAGGTTGGAAGCCATGCTTGCACTTAGCAGTTCCTACCCCACATGGCTTGAGAGTGCAGCGGTTTCAGTCTCAGCAGCGATACCTTTTAGACTTTCCAGCTCCATTTAATGTCACTTCATACATCACACCACTCAGGCAGCCAGCCTGCATCTGCACATGCAGCAGTTTGCAAATCAGCTGGAATAATTTCCACTCCTTTTTAAGCTACTGTTAAAATGTGCCTGGTTTTGTGAAACAGCTGCATGGGTTTAAAAGTAACTTGTAAGGATAACTTAACGTTAAAATGATCATACTTTATGTTCATTATATTCCTATTTAAAAGCTAAGCTTGCAACCGAGAAATGGAAAATAAAACCCCAGGGTGAACTACACAGTGAGGAACTTTCTGCTAACAAGGACAAGTTTCTTGGATTCACGTCCTGGCGATCATTTGCCCTAGCTTTACTCCATCACAGGCACACGTGCACAGGTCTGATACGACACTGCTGCCTTTGGGTCCTGGGAGGGCTCTGCACGGCTGCACCACAGCCCACCCTGCGGCGGACACTGGCCCTCCCTCCGTTTGCAAGGACAGGCTGTGACTGCGGGGACTGTGTGATGGTGTCAGCAATTCTGGTCTTTTCCAGCAAAGGCCCGACCATGAGTCCATACCTGATGTTGCTGAAATGTTGCAGGGAAGAAATCCCGATGCACTTCTCCTCACTCCTGTTTACCCAAATTTGTTCACTCCTGGCTGGA